TGGTGTTCGAGCTTTGTATAGGGCATGCCGATCGTCCGCGATCTGTTTAATTTTCTCTATGTGTTCTGCAGCGCCTCTGCGTGTTGAGGGTTCTGCAAAACCCGCTGCTCTATATAGATTTGAAAGTGGCGTTGGTTTCATGCACCCCGTTACTATCCTGCATGTCTCATTTAGCGCAGTATCAACTTGTTTGGTGTGGGCAGATCTGCTCCAAACGGGGCACGCATATTCAGCAGTTGAGAAACACAGTGCCTGTGCCGTTGTTCTTAAAACGCCAGGACGTGCGCCCATTTACTTCCCGTTAGCTTTCTGAGTATGCTGTTCCTAGTTGTTACTTTCCCTCTTGTTTTTATGCAATGTTGTCTGTAGGTGAGGGACCGGTCCAGAGTTACTCCAAGATATATAGGTTGGTTTGTGTGTTCTAATGCATTACCATTCCACACAATTTGGAGTTTTCGCTTGGCTTCCTTTGTGCGAAGGTGGAAAGCGCAGACTTGGGTTTTAGAGGGATTGGGTCTCAGAGAATTCTGCAGGTAGTACGCTGTCATTGTTTTTAAGGCAGTTTCGAGTTTCTCCTCCACTTCTTCAAAACTATTTCCTTGAGCACATATTGCAAGATCGTCAGCATAGAGGAAGTGCTTGGTTTCGGTCGGAGTAGGTTGGTCGTTTGTGTATATATTGAAGAGCATTGGTGCTAAAACACTTCCCTGTGGGAGGCCGTTTTTTTGAACTCTCCACCTACTTACTTTACCCTCCAGCATAACGAAAAAACGTCTATTTTGCAGTAAGGAATATACGACCTTTCCCAGATGGTGGTCATTGAGAGTGTCGTATAATTTGCGGAGCAATGTTTTGTGCCTTACTGTGTCATAGGCTGCTGTCAGATCTACAAAAGCAGCCCCTGTTATAAGTTTTTCTTCAAAGCCCTCTTCAATGTGTTCTGTTAATGCGAGGACTTGACCGGTGCAAGATTTGCCAGGTCTGAATCCTCCTTGTTGTGGGATGAGGTGCTTGTCGACATTTTTTTCTATTCTGGCGAGTATGAGTCTCTCGTATAGTTTAAAAAAGTGACACAATAGCGAAATAGGTCTGTAGCTACTGGGGTCTTCTGGATCCTTTCCTGGTTTTAACAAGGCTATTACTTTAGATTTCCTCCATGATTTTGGAATTTTGCAGGTTTTACAGCACGTGTTATAAAATTGCAAGATTCAGTTTTTTGCTCCTTGGCCTAAATGCTTTATTTGTTCACTGCATATATCATCCACACCTGCAGCTTTCCCGTTTTTTAACCTGTTCAGACCGTCGTGGAGTTCTTTTAGTGTAAAAGGAGTTCCTAGGTGGTTTGTCTCTGAATCCAATCTTCTCCTAGTGTTTGGGTCCTTATATCGGTTAGTAGTTCTTCCATTCGTAAGGAGTTGAGTAGCGACTTGGTTTGCTGTAACCTTGCAAGGTGGTTTATGTTCTTTTGGATCACCGCTGAGTTTTTTTACAAGGTTCCATGCTATTTTGCTACTATGTGTCATGTCCATTTTTTCCAGGGTCTCAATCCACTTTTCCTGTCTGGCTTGACTTAGCTGTTGGAGTAGTACTGCTCCGCAGTCAACCGTTTCTTGGCTAAAAGGGTCAGAGGAATAGAGGGTTTCGTATGTTCTCATAAGTTCTTTGGACTCGCTGGACATCCCGGGAACATATTGTTGTCTACATCCTCTAGGGATAGTTTTTCTAGACACATTTTTTAGTACCTCTACGAATTTTTCGTAGTTCTCTACTTTTGGTTCAAGGCGTAGTAGTTCAAAATCTAGCATGTCTGCATACTTTTGCCAGTTTGCCTTTTTGAAGTTAAATCTCGTTCTGAATGGAATAGCTTGTGGTCTGACAATTGGGAAGATATTTTATACCAATTGGTCTATGCTGAGTTTTTGGTATGGGGCCATATACTACTTTGGTACATCGATCTTCGAGGTTGTTGCTTGAAAAACACATATCCGGGTTATATCCCCTTTTCCAAACTTTGCTATGAAAAGATAGTGGAAGTTTAGGATCATGGATTAACGTTAGGCCACTCGTTTCAGCCCATGATTCTACTGCGTCTCCATTTGCGTCCGAATCTGCATAGCCCCAGAGTAAACTGTGACTGTTAAAGTCTCCCAGTACAAGCTGATTGGCTTGTGATTGAAAATTAGTTGGGGGTGAAAATATAAAAGGCTGATTTAGGGGCTTGTATACCGAGGTTATTGTGCATTTTCCGAGCTCAGCGGTTATTATCTCTATACCGTGTACATTTGTTGTTTCCACAGATGAGACTATGGTTTGAGTTCTCACAAATACCGCGCTCCCATGCTTATTGTGTGGTATTTCCGCAATCAGTTTCATACCAGAGACTTCCGGTCTCGCTGCAGTAAGGTCCCTGTGGGTATCCTGGATGCACAATACCTCACATTTCGTATTCTTGCAGAATTCTGAAAAGATGTCTTGTTTGGCTGTAGTGATGCCCTCGATATTTATGCTCGCTACTGTCAGTGTTAACCCTAAGAAGAACCGTTGTGGCTTGATCTTTGCCATCGGATTTGGTTTGGTCCGGTATTGGAAGGATTAGCCGTCTACTAGTAGACGTTTCCAGGGGACGCCGTCAATAGTGTTTACTTTGCAGTTGATGTGGCACTATTGATCTCGTGGAGGCTCCTTCCTTGTCCCCTGTTCATTTCTAAAAGTGCCATTTTGATTTTGCATGGAGTTATTTCTGGCATTAATTGATCCCTGGTTTGTGATTTTGGGCAGGTGCTGATCTTGCCTTTCTTGGGTGCTGTGATATATTTCGCAAGAAAAGGATTCGACATACTTAAGTATTTTGGTTCTATCAGTACTATTATTTCCTTCTTTGTTTTTGATTTTGTACATATTTTTGTAGCCTATGTTGTTCGTATTTTGCCTCAAAACTTTTAAACTTTTATTTTCTTGAATTATTTTAGTTATTTGTCTATTTTTTTTCTCTTACGTCTTTTCGGATTGACTGGTGGATATCTTTTTATTTAAATTAATTCTTCATTGTCGTGTAGTTGGAGCCGTATTTTTCCGTCAGTTGTCTTCTTTTACTCATTAACTCTTTGGTATTTTGGCTTAGTTTTTGTTTATGAGTCAGAACGGTCGGGTAGCACTCTCTTTCCGTTTCTTTTGGAGCCTTCATTAGGCCATCATTTGCTTGATCTACATCTTCGATTTCATTTTGCAAGTCTTGTATATGCCTTGTTTGTGTATCTTCATACAGGTCGTTGTTTTCTGGTGGAATCCATTTTTCTTTTCTTGTTTTTAGGATCATCTTTCTTCTTTCCAATGTAACAGTTCCAATAGTATCTTGGCTTGTATTAATCTGTGGTCGATTCCTATTAAAAATTTGTTGAGTATTTCGATGTCTTTGATTATTTCTTTTCTGATTGTTATGATATAATCTATTTCATTTTTAACACTGCCATCTGGGCTGATCCATGTCCATTTATACTTAGGCTTTTTATTGAAAAAAGAGTTCATCATAAATAAATTTTCCTGGTGTAAGAAGTTTAGAAATCTTTGCCCTCATACATTTCTTTTACCATAGCCATACTTACCCATTGCTACTTATCATCTTGTTTAAACCCCATTTTTGCATTAAAGTCGCCCATAATTATTGTGTAATATGCTGGTGTGACATGTGTTTCTAGGTCCTCATAAAATTTTTCAATTTCTTCGTCCGAGTGGTTAGTTGTTGGAGCATGTCTCGATTACCTTCAAGTTATATCTTACATTTAGTTTGAAGATGAGATATATAGTCCTGGGAGTTACGCTGATAATTTCAACTATATTTTTTGTGTGCTTTCTATATATAATGAAACCTTCTCCACCATTTATAGTGTCTTTTTCACCTCTAAAATGAAATACGTGTCCTGATTTAAGAGTAATTTGGGCTTCTCCTCTTCGCCTTATTTCACTGAGGCCGATGATGTCCCATTTTATGTGTTTCAGCTCTTTCTCCAGTTCCATCTTCTTCTGGTCTGAGATAAGAGTTCTAACATTGTATCAAGTAATATGCATTTGTCGCTTTTTGTAGTAGCCTGATTTTTTCCGGGAATTCTTAGCATCCTCTGCTCTAATGCGAGGTTGGGCCTTTTTTTCGTCTGACCCGGATGAACTATAATCGTAAAATTAGTATTTTTTGACAATTTTTGGCGGATGCACCATTAAACGGTGCATTTTGTTCAGTGCTTTTTTTATTCTTGTAGCTGTACTCCCTTTTCTGTAAATTGTACGCATTTTACCGAAACAAATATACCTGTAAATGACCAAACAACTACTAACTGCAAACACAAGTGAAAGATAAAAATATGTACACGTACATATTTCACTGAGGCCGATGATGTCCCATTTTATGTTATTCAGCTCATCCTCCAGTTCCATCATCTTCTGGTCTGAGATAAGAGTTCTAACATTGTATGAAGTAATATGCATTTGTTGCGCTTTGTTGTAGCCTAATTTTTTCTGTGAATCCTTAGCATCTTCTCCTCCAATGCAAGGTTGGGCCTTTTTTCGTCTAACTTATTGTTTGATCATTTTTTGGCGGATGCCCCAGTAAACAATGCACTTTGTTCAGTTCTTTTTTATTTTTGTAGTTTTACTCCTTTTTCTGTAAGGTGTACGAATTTTGCCGAAACAAATATACTTGTAAATGACCAAACAACTACTAAATGCAAACACAATTTATGTATGTTCGCCTCTTATACTCTTATGTCGTATATGTAGAAGAAATGTATAGCTGCATCTGCAATGTACCGAAAAAGCGTTTTTTTTGCCGCTGCTTAGCAGCAAAAACTGCCTCAGAATTCAAATTTATCTACAATATTTAAAGAGATCGTTTTTAAAGGTTTAAGAAACTGAAATATGGAATATTTTTCACAAACCAAAAGTGTACTATTACCTTTAATCTCTTTAATTATTAATACAATCTCAGTACTTCTATTTTTTGTTTTTAGACAATGAAAAATTAAATGCTATTAGAACTCCCAACAAAATAGTTCCAAAATATGGAAGTTTTTATTTGAGACTAGGAGCAATTGGTAAGTTAATTTATTGTCTTATATTCTAGATTACAATTGGTGTTTTAATTTTTTCGAAACGTAAATGGTTCGAATTTGGCCGTGTACTGGTTTTAAATTTTACCGGTTTTCTACAAATACTACTCGCTTGTTCATTAAAATTGAACGTTTGTTGACGATCTTTCCTTAATTTTAATTTTGTTTAACTTATCCATCTTAGCTTTTTTTAACTAACAATGAAAATAAATAATGGTAAGAAAATCCACAAATCTTTCTCAACCTACTTCGATTATACATTTCACTATTCCCAAATTCATTAGCAATAATTACTAAACCAGGTCTATTTGTCCATCCATTTCTAAACGAAAAAAACATTTTAAATCTTTTTAAAACTTTATTTAAATAAGTACTATATATATATATATATATATATATATATATATATATATATATATATATATATATATATATATTATATATATATATATATATATATATGTATATTAATAAAGTATTCAACTAGTGAATTTAGAGGTTTATTCGGTCAGTCAGGTTGGCAAAATAAAAAACAGAAGTCAACTACTTCATAAGTTTATCGAAGACGTTTCGCTTTATATTTCTAAAGCTTCATCAGTTCTCTAAAATACAAAGATGACATAGAGTTTATAAGAAATACAGATCTAATAATTTATTACTTACAACTCAATATGTAGTATTAAAGATGTTATCGTATATGTACTTAAGTTTACGCATAAATTTAGAACTAACTTAAAAAAAAAATTAACAGAAATATGCAAAAAATAACATTCGCAGAAACGAAGATTTACAAAAACTTTAAACGTACATTTGGCTTCATTTAGAGATGGTTCTCCAATGAAGACAAACAAAACACTGATTTATTGCAATCTACGCAAAACGACGTGGCGCGATACCGAAAATGTTTTTTCAAGGGCCATATGTTCAACAAATTCCAAGGTTTGAGACAATTATGAACTTCTACGGGGGTCATTGAAAGAATAGTTGGACAGGTGGATTTGTAACGGAAAAATTTGATATGATTTTTTTTTTGTTAATTTATGTTTTAATGAAACTTAGAGCTTTGGGATGATTATGTTATTGTTTTGAATGGAAAATCCGGCTATTTTAAATTATAAATATTGGTATTATTTATTTCGTAAGATGAGAGAGTGGTAAACCTGGCTCAAATTGTCAATGTCGGTTCTTTTGTTTATTGCAGATGGGTTTTTTAGGATCTCACACATTTCAATAAAGGAGCGTTTTTGATGGTTATTTTGTTTGGCCAGTATTTTAGTATTTGAGAAGTCAATGTGATGTTTGGTGGAAATGGCGTGTTGTGCAAGGGCACAAGAGGGTTTGGAAAGTCTAACTTGTGTATAGTATATATATATAGTATGTATATATAGTGTAAAGTATATATATATATATATATATATATATATATATATATCGCTGTTGCTAAAGTTTTTTATGTCACTTGGCCGAGTATATTTTACAAGCTTTATAATTTCAGTGTACTTTGTTTTAACACAAACAGTACTTTATTTTAATATATTAGGCAGTATATGTTTAGAGTTTTGTGGGAAGTATATAATAGGGTTTTTTTTGCATAAACGCTTCTAAGAATAACTAGAAATCATAATTTAACTACGCGTGAGTTTTCCAAAGTAGGCTCAACTTTTTATTTAATATTACATTGAAAAATTTAAACAATTTCGTATTTTTCTTTTAGTTGGAGAAATAAAAAAGAAACACTGGTAGAATTTCTCAAAACAGATGGAACACGTCTTTTACGGAACACAAAAAGAAATATGGAGAATGATCAGAGGACAAAGAAAAGAGGTGAACGAACCAATAAAAACAAAACACAGTCAGAAGGAAACATGGGTAGACTCTACTTTTAATTCCTATTTGCTAAAGGTAACAATAATGAACCACGAACACCAGAGGTGACGACAAACGAAGAAACAAATAATGAGGAGGAAGAGCTAAAGGAAGCACTAAAATAGAAAATCACCAGGAGAGGACAGAATACCAAACGAAGTCCTTAAGTACGGAGGACCAGAACTGACCAAAAAACTATCAAAACTTATCCAAAAAATAATAGAACAAAACAAAATTCCTCAAGAAAGGAGATCAAACATCCTAATATCTCTCTTCAAAAAGGGAGATAAATCGGAACCGGAAAATTACAGAGGAATTAATTTATTAAACACAACACTAAAATTAACATCCAAAGTGATAACAAATAAATTGAATGCAATGATAACACTAGCAGAAAAACAACAAGGTTTTAGGTTGGGAAAATCATGTACCGACGCTATATTTATAATGAGGCAAGTGCAAGAGAAATCATTAAAATACAACAAACGGGCATAGATATGTTTCGTGTACCTTAAAAAGGCATTTGACCAGGTCAAATTAAAAGACGTTATCCACTTACTGTACGCAAGTGAGGCACCTCTGGAAATAATCAAAACGATCAAAAATATCTACCAAAACAACACAATAAAAGTAAAAGTAAAAGAACTAACCGACCCTATTGAAGCTGGCAATGGGGTAAGACAGGGAGATTTATTGAGTTCTCTATTGTTCAACTTGAGTATGTATGAAATAATAAAAAAAAAGTTAAACAACTTAAAATAATCTGCTAGGCAGACGATGCAATACTACTCTATCAAAGTGAAGTTGATTTACAACGTATGCTCCACCAATTTAATATAACCGCCAGAAAATTTAACATGTAAATTTCCCCTAAAAAGACAAAATGCATGGCTACAACAGCAAATTTACTAAGATGTAAATTGGAGCTGGAAGGTCAGATAATAGGACAAAAGTGATGGAGTTTAAATATCTAGGCATTACATTATCTAGCTACGGAAAGCTCAGAACGGAAATGGAAGATCAAGTGAATAGAGCAAACAGAGCCGCAGGCTGCCTAAGTGAAATAATATATAGACATAAAAATATCGAGAAATATCGGAAAAAGGCAGAATTAACAGACAGTCATTGGATCAATAATGACATACGCGCAGAAACAAGACCTAATACAGAGAGGACAAAAGTGATGTTAGAAACAGCAAAGATGAAAACGCTTAGAAAAATTGATGGCGAGACACTATGGCACAGAGCTAGAAATACAGATGTACGACATAGATCCAAGGTGGAGAACATCAAGAACTGGATAAGAAATAGAAGAGTAGAATAAACGATCATATAAGCCGAATGACAACAAATAGACTAGTAAAGACAGCAAGAGACGGTTCTTCAATAGAAAGACGATCAGTGCTCTTATTTTTGAATTTCAGGGAGTAGAAATTGCAAGAGAAAGTGACATAAAAGTAGGCGTGGCTCCCTAAAACCGAAAATGCTGTATTCTTAAAAAAAACTCTCCTAATGTGTGAGAAAAATGTCACTCCCTAAGGGAATAACATTTCTACTGATAGTAGGTAAGAGAAATTGTAAATGGGAGCGAAAATAACAATACATAACCTTTCAAAAACCTAGGGAATTATTTTGTTTTTTAAAAAGTTAATAAAAGATGGATATCAATCACATGCTCTACTAGAATTATATTATGTTTAATGATGTTTTGGAGGCAGTTGAAGATCTTCAAATTGGCCGGGATGTACATCCAGATCTACTCATGGTAGAGGATACGCACAAAACTCACTTCTACCAGCTATACACTTGGTAGAAGGAAAGATAAAAGAGATCCTAACTGTAATACCTAAACTGTACTATTGACGTGTTCCAATTCTTTACTCACGACAAGAACAGTAAAGGACAGATTTTTAGGACTCTATAATCAAGATATAGATAAGAAATAACCTTATCCAGGTAAAGGTAAAGATAACTAACTTAAGGTAAAGGTACAAGATAAACCAATTAAGGTAAAGATAAATACACACTCAAGGTAAAGATATGAAATAAACTCAGTCAAGGTACGAGATAAACTCAAGGTAAAGATACGAAATAAACTCCATTACAGGTATGAGATAAACTCCATCAAGGTAAAGATAAACTCAATTAAGATACAGATAAAGATAACTCACATCTACCAATCCATATGACTAGTAGGGAGACAGTTAAACAAACTGTATACAATAAGATATGTTAAAAAAATCAAATACTTTCAAAGATAATAGCATAGTAGATTACCTCCAAGTTAAACAGACTTACTTACTGCTGAATATCAGAACGATCCAATTCTAAATGACACATTCTAATTTCAACCTAAGAGACACTCAAGGAACAACTAATATGTATTGATATATTTCTGAGCCAAGTGAGGGCACACATCCAGGGTGATCAATCCTGAACCCACGCTAAAACACCGACACAGTAAGTGAATATGAATGCATAAGCTTTATGGCCATAGTCTACGTACGAGCCTATGCAAACATCAATAAAAGAAAATGTTAAAGTGTTTCCTAATTATCTCTGTAAACATCTATTTAACTCAGAACTCAAGATGGGGAAAATTCCATATATCCATCCTGTACTCCTATGATATGCAGTTGGACTTTTGAGAGAAAACAAACAACAAAATTAACAAGTGCATAAACCAAGATAATAACCAACATTAAGATAAGATAAAAAAAATAGAAGGCAAAATAGCACATCTTATGGTTTTTGCCAGGTAAACAAAATCGATAAACAGATCTTAAGCAACCAAACTGGTACAGAAGTGATAAGGCACCAATGAGATCTAACGATATGAAGTTGAAATGGAAAATCAATCCGTCGATAACTATCCATTTAACCTGGTTGGGGAAGATTTGTCGGTTTGCATGTAGCACAGATTTTGCATTTAGCGATATAGCTACGTACAGTTTGACGCATCTTCGGCCAGTAATAAAGTTCAGATATTCGACGGAAAGTTTTGTAGAAAACCAAAATGAGCTGCAGTAGGATGGTCATGAAAAGTGGCCAAAACCTCTGCTCTATTAGGAGTTGGAACGACTATCTTCCAATCCGACATTCCAGTAAGGGAATCCATG